AAAAATGCTTCTCCAATGTGCACATTCACTCAATTATAATGTATGCCTTCCCCAAGGGAGAAGCATGTACATGTATTACTTTCACTGAAAAGAACTAAAGGCTGAAGCAATTTGCCTCTATTTGTTTAACATTGTTATGGCAGCAGTGTTTAAGTTTAATGTGCATTTTCAAGATGGAACACCTTTGATGTGTGGTACCAATCTCACCCACTAATAATCATGCCTGGTATTTTTACAGGCTTTTAAAGCACTGTAAACTCACTCCAACACTGTTCATTTTAAGGCCTACTTATAAGAACCAATTGACAAAGCACGGTATAGCTAGAAACCACAATCTGTCAGCATCATTGCAATTCTAAGTGGTTACTTGGTTTTGTACAAAACAAAGGCCATTAGTTCCCCTCCACTTTGGGTAATTGACTTTTTCATGGGTCAGTAACTTGCTTTGTGGTCAAATTTTATCATTCTTATGGTTATGGAAGGAAGAAAATTGAACTATTCTTTAAATATACATGCTCCCAATTTTTTTCAATAAACATTTAATAAGACTCTATTGTACCCCAAGAATGGGACATGAGCATGGCCTCTACTTCAGGTATTTCTGCAGGGTAAGCCAGCTGTAGTTGCTCTAACAGGACAGTGACAAGTGGGCCAGAAAGATAATCCCCTGGTTCATCTGCTCATGGACTCCTGGGTCCATCAGAACTCTTCCCCGTGCTTCGGGGTGTTGGATGGAGTGTGTCAACGTGCCAGCAAGCAACGTGCCAGCTTCCAACTCTCCACTCTGGGCTGCATAGCTTGCACAGCTGAGAGCTCACCCATTGGGACCTGGCTTCTGGGGAACAGGCCAGCTCAGAACTGGGAAATATCAGGAGTAGATCACTTGCGTATGCTCCATTCAAAGGTGAGGACAACGCCAGGAAAAGAAGCCACACTAATCAAGACTGGGAGCTGTGTGGGGTGGGGAGCAAGGGTTCCGGAATGTGCCTTGAGTGGGGCTGGGGTCAGACATCCCACAGGGATGTCTAGGTCGGGCATACAGCCTGAGAAGTGTGCAGAGGCTCAATGTGTATATCCTCAAGTTCACATGCTGCAATGGGACAGCCATAGGAGGTGGGGTTAAGCTTGATTGTGTCAACCTGATTGGCTTGGAAGCTGCCCAGAGGGTTGCTGGGGCACACTTTCTGGTGTGTTTGCTGAGTCTGTGGAGGTGTGACCTTGTGTCCAATTGCTCCTCCCTCGCCCTTTCCTCTTGGTGAGATCGCCCTGCTGTGCTTCCAGATTGCCCTGGACTAAGCATCTTTGCCCTCCCCACAACCTTCCACCGTGTAGCTTCTGCCTTCAGAGGCAGCTGATTGTGGACTGAAACTCCTTGACACAGGAGCTAACTTAAGCTTCTCCTCCTTTAAGTTGTTGGTGTTTGGACTCACGCCCCCACAATGAGAAAGCCAACTGATATGGCAGGTGATGAGGTCAGGAAGGGACTCCGGAGAGCTTGTTTGAAGCCACAGCAAGACAGTGGTTCTGAGCTGGAAAGCTGCCATGCTGGGTCTTGATCTCTGGCCTCTAACCTCTAGAACTGTGAGAAAACAACTCCTGTTGTGAGAAACCACTTTCTAGCATAATTTGCTGTACAATCTGGAGCTAAGACACCCTGTGGTGCCAAACTTGCAGAACTGTACTAGGTTTGTGCTGAGGCCTGCTGCGGCTTCGTCTGGGCACTGGTACCATGCTGTATGGTGCACATGCCTGGAGGGCCAAGGGGAGGAGGACACACCAGTGTTTTCCTCATCTCTCTATTGGCTTCTGCACAAAAACCTGTCACTCTTCTCCACACCGGTAATCTTATTTCTTAACTGTCTCCGGGCTGGAACCATAAGAATTCCTCTGTGTCTTTGATGTGTGAGTCAACTTTTTGTTACTGTAATGAAGCACCTGAAGTGGACTACTTTATAAAGAAGTTTATTTGGCTCATAATTCTGGGGGTGCAAGGTCGAGAGGTCAGCTCTGATGATGGTCTTCTTTCCAAGTACAGTCCCAGCACAGCCCAAGACAGCATCTATAAAGCTTCCAGGATTCAGTCCTGGGGGCTCCACCCAAAGGATTTTATCTAATCCCAATAATTTCCTAAAGGCCCCTTCTCCAAACACTGTAGGCATATTGCATTTATACCACTGAAATTTTAAAAACTGATAATTAGGATTAACTTTCAACATGAATTTGGGGGGCACGAATCACTTTCAAACTATAGCACTGGTTTTAGAAACAATCTAGTGATGTCCACATTGCATTTGTCTCTAAATTTTTTTAATTTGCTTCTTCTGGGAAGAAAACAGTCTGACTCTTTCCATCCTTGTGAGTTATCCTTAGCACTTACTCTGGTCCACAGACCAATGCAGGTTGGCCTTCCGGAATTTTCCTTCCCTTCTCAAGTGTTGTTCTTATCTGATGCAGCAATGGTCAGATTAACTTTTGACATCCAGGCCTTTGGGGTCCCCACCCCCTCCATAGCAGCGTTCAGCTTCCAGCACTCACCTTTATAAGGCTACTGGGTTCCTCCTGCATGCACACTTGCTGCCTTCCTTCAATCCTGCCGTAGTCATGAGGCCTGATCACAACTATTTCATCCTGCTAGGGATAGGGTAGGATTGTACTTACTGATCTCTGGGGCACGTCACTTGCTTTGTCAACAAAAGGGAAGCAGGTATGACACTTCTTGGCAGAGGCTTTAGAAGCCTCAGCATGATTCATCATGTCCCTTTCTCCTGACAAGGTGACCCAGAGAGCATGCGTCCTATGGAGCCTGCGTTGCCTGGGTCACTGAATAATAACCTTAGAGAGGACAGTCTGGCTGCCAGCTCGTGTCAGACATGTGATATGAGCAAGAAATCAACTTAGGTCATGTTAGGGAATGGGAAGTCGTGGGATCTCTTGTTATTGAAGTGTAACCTTATTTCTGTGGACAATACTTAGCTTTCACATGCACGGGACTGCAAAGAATGTGTGCAGATCAACTCTTTGTGTTTCAACCTCCACCAAATCAAGACGGGAGTCCAGCAAATGGCTGGAATAAAGGTGACAGTAGTTATCATCTTCTAAAATCAATGCTGAGGTCATTGTTGTAAGTTCACCATCTTGAAAGACATCAATAGTCATATTTTAGATTCTATATTTTCCAAGAGTGTGTGTTATGTTGTGAGAAGAAAGAAGGCAAATAGAACATGATGTTGCAGATCTGGCTTTTTGAAAAACAGTTAGCAGGTAAATTGAGTCAGAACAGTGGGCGTCTGGCTCATTCTACTAAATGATGAGAGCAAATATTTTTCGGGAGTGTAGGGATTTGATAAAAGTGGAAAGGAACCATGCTCTGGGTCCCTTGATTTTCACTTCTGCTGGTGCCAAAATAGGGGACACACTACTATCAGGGAACTATAGAGTTTGGGGACCTGTGGCATTAACTAAAGGGATCTGTTTGGTTAGAATTGCTGGGTTGGCAACATACGTTTTTCAAGCTCTTCCTCCTTAATCGTCAACCCTTGAATATTCTTCACTATAACCTATCTGTTTGGAGTCTCTTTAAGGAGAGGTCAGTTATCAGCCAGCTTCTCTTGAACTGTTATTAACTGATAAACACTTCGACTAGAGGCATTTCCACAACTCTTTCCTGTATGCCTGACATAGAAAGCACTGTGGATAAAGAGGTGGTAATAAAAGGTTGCTGACTTACAGTCGAGTGCTGGCTTGGCAAATGATGGTGCGCGGACTGAATCCAGCCTACTGTCAGGGTTTGTAAATTAAATTCTCTGGGACACAGCCATGTCTATCCATCCTTGTGCTGTCACGGCTGCTCCTGTATTCATGGGGAGGAGTTGTTGCAGAGACGGTATGGTCCCCATTGCCTGAAATGCCTGCTATTTGACCCTTTAAACAGGTAAAGTCTGGGGATCCTTTCCTAGGAGATGATTAGTCTTTTAAACAGAGTTTTCACCTCAGGAGCATTTTTGTAAATGGCCAGCTCTGAGTCTCAAGGGAATTCTGCTAATGGAGAAAATTCAGGTAATCAGAGATATATCTCAAGGGAAGGAAGTCACATCTAGATGCTGTCAGGTCACCCCCCATTGGGAGCTGCCTTTGCTGTCAGTCCAGAACAGTGGACTGCCTTTCCCAAGCCTCTGGCAGGGAAGGAGAGGCAGGTCTCAGCTCTGTGGAGGGTCCTCCAGAGGAGATCCAATTCGCTGACCACCCTGCAGTCCAAGCCTCTCTTTCCCTTTGGCTCCAGGAGGGCTTGTGCCTTCAACGTGGGCAAAGTACGCAAGAAAGCTGACACTGTCTTCTTTATACCTCTGAGTTTTCTGATGACAACAGAATGAATGTTTTGCAAGCCCTAAAGAAACGCTTCACTGCTCTATCTCTTCACTGGCACAGATGAAGGGGGCCGAGTGGAGAGCTTTATAAGGTTCCATTGATTTTGTAGCTGAAGGAAAATGTGAAAAGCCAAGAGTCAAAGACAGGGCAGGAGGATCCCATGCATCAGAGCATTTTTGCTGAGCTACATGGCTGCTTTATACCTCTCTTTGCATTGAAATCCAAGTCACTGTCATTAGCAAAGGAGAATCCTGACCACTTACAGGAGCTAAGTGAATTTCTGTTCCATAAAGACTATGTTCTTTTTCTAAGAAAGTTAGACCCTAATACTCAAATGGAAACCACCTGAAACCTCCATCCATGGTCAGGTTGAGAGCCATGGCCACACTTTACAGAGAACCAGCCACTTCCATAGCAAGTGTCACCTCCTTTCCAAGACCAGGAGTGACCCTTGGAACCTGAGGTGGGCCTGGTGATCTTTCTGCTGAGAGCTCCGAGGAAGAATCTCCCACAGTCTGTCATTTGGATCTCATGGAGAGGAGAGGAAAATCATCCAGGGCCTCAGAGCCCTTCCTCCTCCTCTGCTGTTGTCATGGAAACATATTCAATGCATCTCAGCAAATATGGGCAGAGTAGCTGGGGAGTAAGGCAGTGTCCCTACAGGAACTACGAGAGACACAAAGATGTCTGTGACATGCTTGCTGTTGCCCTCAGAACCATGAGGCAGAGACAGAAAGGTAAGAAATCTCAAAAGCAAGATGGACAGTGGGAAGTTTATAAAAGTCATCAGATTCTGGGCTTGGGAAAATGACATATCCAGGTTTAAATCTCAACTCTGCCACCTATTAATGGTGACTTTGGTTTTATGCATTAATTCTTACAACAAACATTAATGGAAGGCCTACCATGTGCCACACAGCACTTTTAAGTGTCAAGGATAAGAGCAACCTGACGTAGAGGACCTGACCTTTGCTGCTGTCACAGGACTAACACATTGAAATGCAGCAAAACAAAGAACAAGCATGTAAATAAATACATGTAATTTCAGAGAGCTATGGGACATGAAGGAAAGAAAGAGATGGGCAAGAATAACTCTGAGTGGCGGCTTGTTAGGACAGTGACCAAGGAGGATTCTTGGAGGAGGTGACATTTGCAATGAGACCTAAGGAAGGCAGTGACAAGCTGGGGAAAGAGAAGTGTTGGTGCAAGGTGTGTTCACATGATCTAAACTTCAGTTTCCTTTGCTACTAGATGGAGATTATTTGCTTAATGAGAGTGTTGTGAAAGTTCACTTTTACAATGTATTGAAGTATTCAGCTCAAAGCACAAGGTAAGTGATCTTCTGTACTAGTAAAGTACATCAAAACACAAAGGGTGGTGCATTTAGTTGGAGCTGGGGTGAGACCAGGATTATCATTTGACCCAGGTCTTTAGAAGGATGAAGTGTTGGTAAACAGATATAGGCTTGATTTCTTGGCTTTTGGTCTCCCAAAGGGTCCCTTCCAGAAACCTGGTCATGCTTCATTAGAATAGTCCAAATGTCTGTCTCCTTTATAATATGCAAATTGTATAAAAGCAGTGCTCGCCTGTGTTTTCACATCCTACTCCAGTGCTTACATGAGAAATGTAGCATCATGAATGTGCATGTATGCATGAATGAATGGGGAGGGGCACTTCAGGTATTAGGTCTGTTTTGGAACTGGTAATAGACCAGCACAGTAAGAACTTAAGGCTCATGGGGGGAGGGGTAAAATCTGCTATTGGAAGACAAATCATACAAGATCTTGCAGACTTGATTATCTCAGTAAGCACTGACATAAAGGCCTTTGGCAATACTGTTTCTGCCGTTCTTCGATGACACATGATGAAGTGGTAAAGATAAAACCTCTTGTCTGGAAAGTGGAAATGAGGAAAGCTTATACCATGCACATCATCTGCATCACACTGCTGCAGAACTCAGGGAGTCTGTAGTTTACTGTGTACATGTAGGGAACATTTTGTATGAACAGTGTCATATAATCTCTGTAACATGCCTGTAACTAAGCATTACTATTGCTCATATTTGAAGGTGAAAAGTCTGAGGTTCAATTAGAAATGGTAAATGAAGGACCTGCCCAAAGTTAAAACAAGTAATTAGCAGAGCCCGGACTTGAATCCAGGTCTATCTAATGCCAAAGCATAGGCTCTGTATACATTTTTGGTATCATGCCAATGCTTGGATCAACACCCTACCCTCCATTCATACATTAAAATCCTAACTCCAAAGTGATGGGAGTAGGAAGTGGGGGTCTTAGGGAGATGGTTATCTCATGAGGGTAAAGACTTCATGACTGGGATTGTGTCAACTTGATAAATTCAAGAAGTATAACTAAGAGACTCAGCAGGGAACCAGGATTCTTACTTTGTAAACATCCTGAGCCTGTGGAAGAAGAGGGCGTGGAGATGCTCTGAGTGTTATACCCACCCAAGAGGTGTAGCCTGCTTACAATATAAGGAAGGAAATGAGGCTTGCTCTTTCCCTTTTTAATATTATTTTTGTGCTGTCTCTGATGCTTTGAACCCTGTGCCATGCCACCCTGCCTTGGAGCCAGTTGATTACATACTGAAACCTCCACAAACTGTGAGCTAAAAAATCCCTTTCCTTCATTAATTTTGGGCATCAGGTATTTTGTCCCAGCAACAAGAGAAAAGTAACCAAGACAGTGCTATTATAAAAAGATCTCAGACAGATAGCATGCTCCTGCCAGCATATGAAAACTCAGCCTGAGGGCACATTTGTGAAGCAGACAGTAGGCTCTGATAGGTCAGCTAGTCTGGCAGTGTCTTTCTAGCCTCCTAAACTGTGATCAGTAAATTTTTCTATTTGTAAGTTACCCAGTTCATAGTAGTTTGCTATATCAGCCAGAATGGATTAAGACAATCAAGATCTGTAAAATTACAAGTATTATTTTAGTCTTCATCTTGGAGCCAGAACCTGAGGCAAGGTTTGAGCATTCATGCTTCCATTGGGAAGTACATTCTCTGGTCAGTGAGAAAGAGAAGAAAAGCAATGAATGAGGGGCCCATGCAAAGTGAAAGTGTCCCACACTGACCACAGGTTTTTTTTCCTCTTCTTGACCACAAATTTTGATGAGCAATGAAGAGATACAGCCCCGTTCACTAGCCAGCAAGTCCTGAAATATCAGATGTCTCTTAAAGAAGAGCACTTCATGGTGGTCTCTTTAAAGATAGATCTACTCTCTAATTCCTGGAATTGTGAATGGAACTTTATGTGGAAAAAGAAGGTTTTGCAGCCATAATTAAGGATTTGAGATGAAGAGATCATCCTGGATTATCTGGGGGAGCCTTAACTCTCCTGTCAAATGTTCTTACGTGGGACACATAGGGCAGAACTGGCAGGAGAAGAGGTGACAAAGTGACCATGAGTGCAGAGACTTGATGTGGCCTCAAGGCAAGGACGGAGAGACACCAGAAAGTGGGAGGGGCAAGAACCCATGGTCTCCGAGGGCCCTTAGAGAAATCAAGGGCCCTTGACCTTGGACTTTTGGTCCCCAAAACCTTGAGAGACTGACTTTCTCTTTAAAGCCACCCAGTCTGTGGGAGTTTGCTTCAGCAGCCACAAGAAATCAAAGTCTATTGAATCCCATGGGAGTCTCCCAACCAGCACATAGACAGAAACCAAATCTCCTAGAGTATTCAGGGGAGACAAGAAGGAATTCATCTACTTTCTTCTCATCTTCTGTTTACTTATGGTCAAAAACAATTCCTCTCTTTTCTAGATGATATTTATGAGGCCTTTCTGGGAACCAAAGGGGAAGCCAGAGCTTGTACTCCAAGGTTACCTGTTTTCCCCAAGACCAGGAATGGCAAAGGACATAGAAGTGGAAGCCCATGTGGTTAGTCAGCCTTGAAGCACAGCAGTGCCTTTCTAGAGGGTCTGACTCTCTAGCAGAATACCTGTTGGCGCTGATCGGGTCTGGTGGTCGGTGGGTTCTTATAGCAGCAAAATAGAGCAAGTGGGTAAAGATTCCGGTGGTGTGACCAAAGAGGTTAAAAGGGGACCCAAAACCAACTTGATAACCGTAGTTAATCTCAATCAACCATTTGTCACAAAGGGTACAAAACACAGTCCACTGGGCATAAGATGTGCTTGTATTCAATTCTTTCTGCCCACCCCATTCTGGCATGTATTACTGTGTGGCTTTCAGCAGCTGGTCACAATGTTTTCCTCTTTGCCTTGTTCAACTCTAAAGTCTGGAAGGTTTTGTATTTTGTGTTTATCTTCTTTCATAGCTGAACATCTTACTTTTCTCCTATTGCTGAGACAAAATACCTGACACTCAAAGTTAGAGGGGAAAGTTTGTTTAGCTCACGGATTGCAGAGGTTTCAGTCCATAATTGGCTGGCTTCAAAGCAGGTTGGCACATGGCAGGTTGGAAACAGCTCATGGTGGCTAAAGACAGTAAAAGCAACAATCATGAGAAGCCAAGATAAAGCCTTCTGTCCTTTATCTTGTATGCAATATATACACCCCAGGGTGGGTGTCACATTCACACCCTTAATCCCAGCATTGGATCATGAATCAACCACAAACTCTAGGTTCAGCTACACACCCCCCACCCTGGACTCTATGACCTCATGAGGCTTTGGGGACATCCAGACACAACTATAACTATGAGAGTAGCTAGGGGACATAGTGTTGGATGATAAAATCATGCACTGGAGTGGTCTTTCTGTCCTGAAGTCTCTGCAGGAGAAAGCCCTGTCTCCTGTCTCTGTCTCCTGCTGGGAGTGATGTAGCCATGATATAATCATGAGGCCAGGGTAAGGAGAGGCCAGAAGAATCCCAAAGGCATGGGCCCAGATGCCACTGGACATAGCACAAGCACAGGAATCTGTTATGGTTTGTGTTCAGATGTCCCCCCAAAGCCTCATGTAGTCACAGGGTTTTCTCAGAGCTGGCGGAATGTAGAGCATGTGATTGACTCATAGTTCAATGCTATCCTTAAGGGTGCTGATATTAAGGGTGGGTGATTCCTGGATCAGGCCACTGATGGGGTTGGTACTGCCCTAATCCCAGGAGACTAGATACAATATAAGGAACAGAAAGAGGCTGGTCTCTCCCTTCCCTTGTTGCTTTTGCTGTCTTTTATCTCCACGAACCATTGCCTCTCTCCCATGTGTCACTCTGCCTTGGTGCTGATTATCGGCTGAAACCTCCACAAACTGTGATCTAGATAAACCTTTCCCCCTTTAACCTTGGGTGTTGAGTATTTTGTCATAACAAGAAAAGTAATGAAGACACAGCCATCCACACTTTTATTTTTTATCTTAGTTTGTTCAGATGTCCAGAAGAAAACCAGTCAGAATGTACTAGGGGTATCGTGGCTAATGACATGTGATATCTTGACTAGACCATGGGGTGCCTAGATATTTGGTCAAACATTATTCTCTGTTTCGTTGGGAGATTGTGTCTGTTTTGGGTTGAAATTTGAATTGATAGACTAAGTAAAACATTTGTTTTCCTAATGTGGGTGGGTGTTGTCCAATCAGTTGAAGAAAAAAAGCGAGATGTTCACTCTCCTCTAAGGAAGGGAGGATTATCTGGGTGCCTTCAGATAGGGACATCAGCTTTTCTCCAGCATTTGGTCTTGCTGGCATTGACACTGAAACCTACTCCAGCAGCTCTTCTATGTGTCAGGGATGAACCCTCAGCAATTTGGGTCTCTAGCTTTCCAGTTTACTCTGAAAATCTTGGCTTTGGAATTTACCAATCTCCACAACTGTAGAAACCAGTTCCTTAGAGTGTGTGTGGGGGAAGGGCATTCTATTGGATCTGTTTCTCTAGAAACTCCTAAAAAAAAACACAAAGGTCTACCTAATGGTCCTGATTCTTTTTAATTTAATCACCTTTTTATAGGTGCTTTCCCCAAATACTATCTCATTCTGAGGTCACTAGGATTAGGATTCCAACATATGCATACTGGCAGAATCCAATTTAACTCTCACAAGATTGAGCAAATAGCACTGCTTGTTTAAGACATTGTTTCTTGTGATGAAACACATAATTAATATTTACACACAGTGTAGACTGACTAAGGTCAATGATCCAAGGAAAGGTTTTGGCCATATTTGTGTATTACCATTGCTTCTACCTTCGAAGAGTTATTCGTTAGAATCTGGGCTTAGGAAAATGGGTCTCTAAGGGTGTTGGGACAATGTCTAATCGTGGGGGCACCCTCCAACCACACTTCAGCTGGTCTGTTCCCAGCTAACCCTACAGTAACACCATATGCCCTTGGTGTGAAGGTCATTCCAAATATGGAGCCCTCATCTGGCTCTGGGGTGGGGGTGAGGAGGCTCCTCAACCACGGAGAGGCAGTGCTTTTCAGCCAGTGTTGAAATTTCCTGACACGCGCCTCCCAACCAATGTCTACAGCTAATATGGGTGAATTAATGTAGTAATAACTGGATCATATTCAGCAAGCATTAACTTCTTTCTTTACATCAGATCAAGCCTCACGATGGTTTTAAAATTAACATGCTGTTCCCAGAATGGTGAATCTCTGCACTGGCAGCTGGATCTTGAACGGGTCCGGGAAGGTCTGAGGAGCAGGCTGGGCTGCCTAGTGGTGATTCATTCCTTGGAGTGGTTGGGCAGACAGGGATGTTTTTAGATCTAATTGAACCCAACAACATTTTAGAGAGTGAGAGGGAGTGATCTTTATTTCTGGACAAAGTCTAAGGCCAGTGCATACTGGGAGCACCCTTCAGTGTCCCTCATGTTCCTGGAGACCCCACCCAGACAGCCCAGCAGAAACAGGCTGGCAGCTAATCTCTCCAGACAGGCTGCTGTTCCCCACACCTTGCTAAGGGAGGCTGCGTGGTGTCACTGGAGTGAGAGACCATGAGAGAGCATATTTCCAAGACTTACAGGGCAGACTGCAGATAAACCTCAGAGGAAGTGCCTAACAGACTTACAAACGAGCGAACAGGAAAACCAGAAAGAGAGTGCACAAAGGCAGGGAGAGGGATGCTTGCCTTTTCCCTGCTTTGGCTGGTGAAGCAAGGAAGCGAGCCCAGTGTGATGAGAAAGGAAATGTGGAGAGAATGGGGGGGCTGTACCTCCGTGTGTGGAGAAAATGGGGGGCTGTACCTCCGTGTGTGCGGGTTCTCCAAGTGCCGTGTGGGACTCGTTGCTAGCAATCTGAGGTGTCCTTCTCTCGCTGCTGGGGGATGCTTTGTGAAATCATGACACAGACCGTCATCCCTCTAATCCTCTCTCCCAGGCACGCGTCATGTGAATGGACACACTCTCCAGGCCAGCCCCTCGCTGGAAACTGTGGGGCAGAGCCTCCTCTCTTCCTCTTCAATCTCTCCCACCCCTCTTCTCTAGCATTGCTCTTCCCACCTCCTCCCACTCTCTCCTCTTTATGCGCAGAGCCCAACTTTTGGGAAAAATTAATATTCTGTTCAATGGAATCATTGTTTCCTAACAGCTTTCTAATTAATCTTCCAAAGAAGCAATTCAGGACTGAATTTCATGCCTTTGCTCACAGTGGTTGTTATACGTAGACATAAGGGTCTCGCACCCGCATCCCACCCTGGGGTACCTCTCTGTATCTCTCGCCTCAGTTCGATGCCTCCTACCCCACTCCCCACGAGCTGCTTCTCAATCCACAAGCTTATAAAGTCAGCGCCTTAGCAAGCTGCTTTAGAATTCCCTCCTCTTCCCTTCTGTCCTTATCCTGTCAATCAGGATGAAAGAAATTAAGTCGGGTAAGGCTGTGCATCTTCCTGTGATCCCTCTTACAGGCCCTAGGCTGCCTGGGAACTGTGGAGTTGCCTGCTCTGGTTCGGACAGGAGGTGGTAGATACTGCAGAGTCCTGCAAAATCAGAGTGATGTCCCCAAAGCTTTAGTTTTCTAGTTCATAACTTGGGAGGCAGAAATGATCCTATGATTCTAAGTTCCAAGGGAGTCATTTACAGTGATGATGTCACTGAATCAGAGCCAGACACAGGATGAGAGTCCCAGGCCACCTTCCGTCCTCCTGGGGCGCTCTGCTTTGGCCTATGGTGGTGCCCAGCTAAGATGCTGTTCCTCTTCTGGGCTGTTTGCAGAGGCACGCGTGCTCTGTGGAAGGGAAACCTCATTGTTATGTGCTTGCCATGCTGTTGGCCCTGAGGACCCATCTTCTTAGCGAGACATATGTTTTCGTATTTACTCAGAGGTGTCATATACACCAATTCTTATTAGAAAAATAAAATTACAACTGGACTGACTTTTAAAAGTATTTTTAAAAAACATTTCTTTTTAGAGTATACTCTTTTAGAATGATTATAACTTCAAGGTCATTCTTATATCTTTCCTACTTGAGACTGTAGTGACGACAGCCCACCTTTATGTGAGCCTTCTGGGTGTCTGTATATATTGTTTGTTGTTCTTCCTGCCCTAGTCGCCCTTGCTGGGGTTTGTTCTTCCTGTTACACTAACTTTGACCTTGGAAAAACAGAGCATGATAAACATGATAGGGTTTATGACAATGTTATGAGATTGTAGGAGGTGTTCTTGAAAGCATTTTTTGAGGTTGTGTCTTTGGCTTTAAGAAGAGCATTCCCCCAGGTGATTGTACCCTCTATCCTTAGATCAGAGCATGAGGAGAGGCCTGAACCTAACCCAAATTCTGAAGACCAGACAAGCTTAGGCAAAAGCAGGTGAGTACAGCCAAATCACAATGATCAGATGCATGCACATGACATAATGTTCATTGGTTCAAGGTGCAGCGAGTTGGGGATTGTTTGTTATGCAGCATTGTAGTGCTACTATCAGATTCCTACATTGCCTTGTTTTTTTTTAAACCAACTGTGACAGCCTATTTGAAGTACATATTTCTGTCTTACACAAAAGAATATCAAGAATCTAAGATTCATTGTTTAAATTAATAATTGGTATACTCCATTATTAACAGCCAGGTCTGCCTGATTCCAAAGCCTGTTGTCTTCTACTTCCTTTATGTCATTTCAGAGTATTGGTGCCAGGTTCCTCCTAGAGACATTTAACTGGCAAAATGATACTACGATGGACAATGCATTTGTGTTCTACTTACCAAAGCAGAGAAAGGAACCAATGGATTTTCATTTGCAAGGCCAACAAGGGCCTCACTTCAAAGCTGTCAATTCTGTACAATTTATCCAACCTAATTCATCCTCCCTTTTCTCCTGTGTTCATTCTCCTCTTCCTGTTATTCAAAGGTCTAAGGTTTTGAATATGATTCCTATTTCTCTGGACTGGGAGTGCCTGTGGCGGAGGCAGAGTTTGGCTTGGCACTTTGTTTGTTGTCAGTACAATCAGCCAGAACCAGACACAGATCATTGACCTGAAGCATGACTTCTCTCTCCTGGTAGCTCCGTGGGTAGAAAAAACTCCTCTGTCTGGTGTATCATTACGTGAGAAAAAGGAACATGCAGATTAATGTGTGTCGCACGTCATCATTTGTATATCTCAGAGGCACGTACATATATGAACGTTTATATCTATGTAGGATGTCTTGGAGAAAATCCTTTTGGAATGTGATAGCAGTTGCCTTTGGCATGGGAATTTGATGGCTGACAAGGAGTAACATTGGGAAAAAACTATCTTTTCCCCGAATATTTCTTTAAAACTTTCTGTCTTGGTGGGTATGTTCATGTTGTTACTCAAAATAAACTTTTTAAAGAAAGCAATCACATCTTCTCTCCTGCCCTCTTCCATTTTTTAGGTAACTGTATTTCTTGGGTCTCCTATACCCTGACTTTTTGAAAGGAGGAGCTAGCCCAGGCAGAAGAGCCCCTTTCTGGAACATTCTCTTCCTCTCCATAGTACAGAGGTGCATCAATATTCTTAGAGCCTTCACAAACAACAGAGACAGAATTAAGAGGCCTGAACCAGATCTCATGGGTTTCTACAAGTGAAAGTGATTGTTTTCATTCATGAATCAAAGGCTGTAGAGTGAAAAACAAGACTTGATAAGCTTTTTGTTTTTCTTTGTTTATTTCTAAAGACCAAAATCATGTTCTAATTTTTCTCTGACTGGGGAAGTTACATTAGGAACATTCCAAAAGCCAAAGGCCTTAGATTTCCACCTGTGAGCCAAGGATGTTTTTCTGTTACATTCTAATCATATTATAGAGTTCATTAATTGTTTCAACAAACAGACATCATCTATGCATTTAAAAAAAAGACAGGGTAAATAAATCAACTTTCAAATCATGTCCTTCTGCAAACAGCAGCTGCACAGGAAAAGGAAGGTAGGCTGTTAGCTGGCTCTCACCAAAGTGCAGGCTCGGGCTGGCTGTGGACACGCTCAGAGCAGAGCCGTCTGCCAATGTGTCCTGCAGCCCACAGGAAAGAACCAGCGGAAAGTGAGAAGGCAGAACAATTGTGTGAACTTAGCTCCCTTTCTTACTCCCCAAACATCTGGCCCCTACATGTGTCATTTCTTTGATTCAAACCTGCGCTGGAGTTACAGAGATAGCAATGGTCTACCACGGGGGGCTGGAGAGACTACTTCATTCAAGAGCAGGGACACACACTCACTTTCAGCAGCAAAACAATGGAGTGGGTTGTTATAAGTCACATTTCTGAAACTGCCCAGTCAGTTCTCTGTCGACTCCTTTATGGAGAAAATAAAACAAAACTGGGAAGCAAAGAGATAGTGTGTTGAGCCCGTATGATTAGGGCTAAAGGAAAAACAAAGCACACCTGATCTGATGCCAGCTTGGTATTGGCTAACATAGGGAAAACCTCTGCTGTTTAACGTAATGCGTTTGTAAACACAGATGTCAGGGACGGCAAGTTTATTTTTGTAGTTCCGCATCTTACATTCCCCCAACTGATTCTTTTTCTTATCTTCTACGTCAGAACAGCCAAACAGGATTCCAGGGATACGTTTAAGGGATGCGTGCAGACGGCTTGCTTCCCTGAATTGTGTCTGTATCCATTAACAGGACAGACACTTGGTTCCACCTGTGGGTGTAGTGGCTTAATCTTCACAACTGTCATATTGTCCTGATCCTTATTTCACTTTACTAGGGTACTTGAGGCAACAATCTGCTAGGCTTATTTTCTGGCAGTTAAAAATCAGTTTGGTAGAAGGTTTGCCTGCAGGTCAGCTATTAAGTTTAAAGACTTGTCAAATTTTAACTATCTTCTTCATTTAAAAGTAATTAGAGCCACTTACATTTGGTTGGGTGCCAACGTTAAATCTTGACGACCACAGACTGCAACTTTAATCTGAAAGGGATTTCTTTCCCTTCTCTTTTCCACGTCTGTTGTGAGCACCTGCAGCAGGAGACGCAGGGGTAGGGCTCAGAGAGACAGGAAATGAAAGCGATGCTGAACCAGCACCACCAGGCGGAAGTTCAACCAAGTTAAACGCAACGCTTTACGTTTTGTCTGGAAGAAAGAGATCAACGCAAGAAACATGAAAGAGACTTGAGAGTCAGTTAATTGCAAGTTTGCTATCTTTCTCAAAAATAAAACTCACATAGGACTGAGTACAGTAGAACTGTACTGACACATACAGTTCTAAATGCTTTAAAATAATTTTTCATTCTTATCATGACTATCATTATATCCAATTACCAGTTGGAAAACTGAGGTACAAGAGAACGACTGGCATATACTGGTAGCATGTATCAGAGCTAGAATTCAAGTCTAGGTACTCTGGTTCTGTTCCTAATCTAAGCCAGCAGTCAGGCACAACCAGTAAACAACTATTGGGGACCACAAATTCACACTGGCTAATTTTGCATATTCCTCAAGGGACAAATGGAGGCTTGGGATTTCCCACTAACTCTTTGGTAATGGGCCATCCTTTCTCACCCACTATGACTAAGTTAATATGACTAAGATTAAAAAGCACTCCAGGGTGAGATCCTTCTCAGCATGGGCTCATCTCTGCCTTCTTTAGTCTCCCTAGATTATCCATTGCCTGCCCAGTCACTGACTTCTGTGTCCCCCACCTACCTTGACTCCTTCACTAGCCCCTCCTATCATTGTATACACCCAATAAATAGGCTGGTTTGGAGTGTTTTGGTCTCTGCCCATCCTGAGGCATGGATGCCCCCTTCATGTATTACAAAATTTGTCTGTTTCTTATTTCACCCTTTCACTGTGCCCCTCATTTAGGCAGTTGGGGATCTTGATCAGATCCTGGATACCTGGTGCCCAAAGAGGGGCATTCTATTTAGGCCTAAGAGGGAAAGTCCACCTGAGTGGGTAAAATTCGATGCAAGATGGTAGGAAGACTTCACAGGATGAATTTGGGAATGTCCAAATAGACAGTGGAAGGTAAAGCACTTGACATCACAGAAAGTTTCCTGTATCTGTGAAAATGGGGCAGAAGCAATCTAAAGAGCAGCAGAATTATACTCAGCTCTTGCACAAGCTGCTTAAGCAAGTGGGAATTCAAATTAGTACTAGAACCTTAATTAAAATGGCACTTAAAATTATTAAACGCAATCCTTGGTTTCTACAAGTAGGAACCTTAGATTTAGAAGATTGGAATAAAATGGGTGAGAATTTAAAAAATGCTCATTACAGGGGTAACAAGTGTGGTCAAAAACATTCCCCTGTTTGGTATTAGTAAGATCTGTATTAGAACCCTTAAATCTCATACTGTCTAAAACACCAATGCTAGAGAAAACTAGAGACGATAATAGAAATGCAAAATCAGATGGAAAGGAGAGCCAAAAATCACAGCAGGAAGAGGTATCTATACATGGGAAGGTAAATCTCCAGGTGCTCTCCTCTATAATCTGGGAAGAACTAGTGGTAGGTTCAGCAGATGGGGAAATTCCCAGTCTTTGCCCACAAGGTGAAAAGGATAAGCACTGGGCTAGACATTGTCAGTCTAAATATCACAGAGATGGGATTCCCCTGTTGGGAAATGGAAAAGGGGCTTAGCCCAGAAGCCCCCGCCCAAACCTAACAGTCACCCTAATGGAGAATCAAGCTCCCAACCAGATTTCCAATCAAAATCTCAGTCAGATTTATCCACTCCTTACAGTCCTGCAGGAACATTGCCTCCCTCACTTAAGAGACTGCGGGGAGCACAAGATGAGATCTACCAGTCACCCAAAAAGGTAAGTCCCACTGAGGGCAACAAGCCAGTTGCCAGTACCACTGGGATTTGGGGACCTCCACCTAAAATATTGTTGGATTAATTATGGGAAAAACCTCTTTACATTTAAAAGGTCTTATTGTTATACCGATTATTATTGACAATATGAAAATAAGATTCAGTTTTTGTACAAACAATGGATATTAGGGTAATTGAGAATACTGGAGAATATATTGCTCAATTGATATTATTAACAGTATCCTCATGTAGTGCTGTTTATTTTAGACAGGGCTCTCAGTTAGGATGAAGAATAGGAGAAACTTCAAAAGAAGAAATTTATTTTATTCAGAAGGTGGTAGGGGGTGACCCATGTGCTCCATTAAAATTAATGGAAAAATCTGTCAAGGCATATTAGATACAGGTGCTGATGTTTTGACAATATTGTCTCATCAGTGCAACTTCTTGGCCAGCTAAACCAGTTTCTGCATCATTGGTTGGACTTGGGTCACAAGTTTTATGAAGTGAGTCCCTCTTAACATATGATGGGCCTGGTAGTCAAACGGGTTTACTTGTTGTCTTTATAGCCTCTATTCCAGTAAACTTGTAGGGAAGACATCTATTAAAAGAATGGAAAATGAAGCTAACTATTGAATTCTCTTCCATTGCTTAAAAGGATATGAATAAAGATGGGGTATATGCAAGATAAAGAGCTGGGAAAAAATAATCAAGGAAACTCCCAGTCCTTAGATGTTAAAATTAAGTTAAACTGCACTATAATCAGGTATTACATCCCTTTTTAGTGGGGGCCATTGATGCTTCTCCTCCCAAAACAGCTTTACCCTTACAATGGAACACTGGGACTCCTGTTTGAGTAGATCAATGCCACTCAAAAAAGAGAAGCTTGTGCACCTATATGAGTTAATACAGGAACAAATTCAACTGGGTCACTTGGAACCATCAGTTAGTCCTTGGAACATACCTGTGTTTGTTATTCCTAAAAAAATCTGGCAAATGGAGATTGTTGCAGGATTTGAGAGAAATTAACACTTGCTGGCAGCTGATGAAGGCTCTACAGATAAGGCTTCCCTAGCCCACTTCTGTGCCTTAGGGAGTAGCCTCTGATTGTCATAGATCTCAAGGTTTGCTTCTTTATAATTCCTTTACATCCTTCTGATCATTATAAGTTTGCTTTTTCTGTACCTAGTGTAAACTTTAAGGAACCTATGAAAAGATATCAATGGATGTCTCTTCCACAAGGGATGAAAAATAGTCTGGTCTTGTGTGAACATTTTGTAGGACAAGCCCTGCAAAATGCCAGAGAACAATTCCCTCAAGTGTATATCATCCATTACATGGATGATATTTTATTAGCAACTAATTCTAAATCCTAGTTATATGACTTATTTGCCTTGTTGAAAAGGGATTTAAAGTCTTTTGGTTTTTGTGTAGTTACTGATAAGGTACTGATTTCCATCTCTTATTATTATTTAGGAACTTTATTAACAGCATGGGTGATGAGATCTCAAAATTCAAAATAAGACAAGATCTGCTGATGACTTTGAATGATTT